GGGAAAATTAGCAGGAGATAAATGATAACTGACATCCATCAAACATGGCACGTGGAACTAGAACAGTCTACCCCAGTGATCGAAATAAAGGGTTCAGTTCGAAATTCCAACCACCTGAAGAAGGCCGGAGCGTACAACGGCCGAAACGTTGTGAAAAATATGGCGACAAAGATGAGGACAATAGTCCGACTAATGTAAATACTGTACATAATACCTCATCTCAGAAATATAGACAGACTCTGAAGCATCAAGACATCTTACTCTCTGCTTTCGGGTAGAGAGGAACCCAAACCCGACCCCGTACATGCTCGAGCCTACGGGCTTGGATTGCTCCACATAAATATCGACCTTGTGCCACATCCTGCCTCGTGAGGAGGTCGGGTAAATATCGCTTGATTTCCAGCTAGCATCAAGACGTCAAACTCTCTGCTTTCGGGTAGAGAGGAACCCAGACGATGCTATGTCGAAAGGCAAAGTCTCGTCTGCAGAGGTAGACAAACCCGATCCCGTGCATGCGGGGTCTACGGGGAATTTTAGCTCGAGCCTACCGGCTTGGATCGCTCCACATAGATATCGACCTTGTGCCACATCCTGCCTCGTGAGGAGGTCGGGTAAATATCGCTTGCTTTCCAGACGTCGAACTCTCTACCTTCGGGTAGAGAGGAACCCAGGTGAGGCTATGCCGAAGGGCAGAGTCTCGTCTAGGGAGGTAGACAAACCCGACCCCATGTATGCGTGGGTCTACGGGGAATTTTTGCCCAAGCCTACGGTCTCGGATCTCCCCATATAAAAATCGGCCTGGTGTCACAGTCTGCCTCGTGGGAAGGTCGGTTTAATACTGGCTTGCTTTCCAGCTTCAATCAAACTTGTAAATATATAGTTGTATTGCTCTTGTTTAAAATAAAGCCTTATATTTTGTAAGTTGCCGTTGTTGTTATTTTCAATAGCCACTCCGGACAACAATACAAAACATACCTTATGTTGTTAAGATTGTGGCTTCCAATAACAAATCCTGGTAGAACTTCTAATTCTCTCAGAATCGCCTCACTGGAGAGGTGGAATAAATCTGACGGGAAGATATATCCTTGTCTTAAACATATTTTAATTTTTTTAAATTTACTGAAATCATTTTCTCTTCGTATGAAGGCGGTTTGCTGCCAGTACAGGTTCTGGATTATTCGAATATCCTTCTGAAAACTATCAGTAAATAAAATAGCAAAATCCTTTGCAGGTTTTCATTAATATGTACCGCTCTCGCGTTCTTTCTTTCACTCTCTGATATCAGAAAGATGTACAGGATTCCAACCCACCTCTCAGATCTGCATATATATATATATATATATATATATATATATATATATATATAGTAGGATTCTCTTGGATATTAATTC